ATTAAGTAGAAACTTCCTAATGGTGAGGACGACGAACCAGTGGAACAGCGCGCCACCAGAAGTTGTGGATACCCCATCACTGGAGGCTTTTTTGAAGCTGTTTTCAACCCATTTTTGAAGCTTTTTCAACCCATTTTTGAAACTTTTTTCAGCCCAATTTTGAAGCTTTTTTCAGCCCATTTTTGAAGCTTTTTCAGCCCATTTTTGAAGCTTTTTCAACCCATTTTTGAAGCTTTTTCAGCCCATTTTTGAAGCTTTTTCAACCCATTTTTGAAGCTTTTTCAGCCCATTTTTGAAACTTTTTCAACCCATTTTTGAAGCTTTTTCAGCCCATTTTTGAAGCTTTTTCAACCCATTTTTGAAGCTTTTCCAGCCCATTTTTGAAACTTTTTTCAGCCCAATTTTGAAGCTTTTTTCAGCCCATTTTTGAAGCTTTTTCAGCCCATTTTTGAAACTTTTTCAGCCCTTTTAGAAACTTTTCTCAGCCCAATTTTGAAGCTTTTTTCAGCCTGTTTTTGAGGCTTTTTTCAGCCTGTTTTTAACCTTTTCTCGGCCCATTTTAAAGACTTTTTAGGGGCTGTTTTTTCCCCCCAAAAAAATCAAATCCCTGGTCTGTGCAGGGAATCCAGAAATCACATGCAGCCACTGAATTGTAGATTTGCGTACTTTAAGATATGCAGACTTCAACTCCCAGAAATCCCTCAACAGACCTGGGGAATTCTGGGAGCTGAAGTCCACACCTTTTAAAATTCCCATGGTTGATAAAAACAGCCCCCTCTCTCTGCCCTCAATTCTCCTGGGTGTTATCCAAAGTAAAGGCAAAGGCAGCTTCATTTTGAATTATTTATATCAAGTTTCTTGGCCGCCATCTTAATTTTCACGTTTCTATTACGATATCCTAAACCGGTGTTTCTCATGAAGTAAAGATCAATTTATTTTACGCTAGCTAGCCGGGTATTTATTTATAGGGGGAAAATGTCCGGACCAAACGTAAATTGGGAGCGCGCAGAATAATAGTCGAAATCCAGTCCAAAGTGCAGAGAGCCAAATCAGATTCGTCAAAACAGTCCAAAGATCAGGAATAACAAGCAGAAACGCAGGAATGAAAGACTACAACGGGAGACGAGAAGAGGAATATGGCTCATGGGTGCGTCTTAAATCAGGCTGCAGCCAGCTATCTTTAATTTAATTTAATTTAATCTTTAATTTAATTTAATCTTGCTTGACAAGGAGCCTCACTGAGCATCGTCACTCTGCTCTCCGCTCTACCGTCCACATCCAAGAGATTACACTGCTGATACAGATGTTGTGCTTGTGTTGTGTCAACCAAGTCTGATGTCTCCCCAGGCTGACGTCCCACTGGTTTAGCTCTAAGCAGTTTCTTCCATGTGTGAGTTGTGGGTTGCGACACATGGTCTCTCCTCTGGAGAGCCCGCTGTTCCTGAACGACAAGCGGATTTCCTTCCCCGTCTCAGGACCTCAAAGTTGCCTCCTCCACAGGTAAGTTTGGATGGAGTGAGCTCTCGCACGGTCCTTGAGGTAACCCAACTGATGGTCCAAGATAGTGAAAGAAATATCGGCAGGCCCACTGAAAAGAGAGCATAAATTCCGGTCAAAGGAAACGTGGGACATTTCTGCTTTCGGAGTTTCAAGATTCTGTCAAGGGAAGCCTTACAATAAAGTAGAATCCGCTTGTTCTGGTTTTGTTTCCTATCTGGAAATTCTGAATTTTGCAAGTCTCGGAATACAAATCTCTCGCTGTCTGTTTTACAGACTGAGAAACGAGGGAAGGTTTCTTCCAAATGTCTTTCTCTGCCCGTCGTGCAGTCCTGGCACTGATAAAAACCCCTTTTATTAAAACGAATGTGTATTCCTCTCCTTCGCATTCAACAAAGGCCTGGCAAACAGTCTTTCAAAGGAGTATTTATGACCACAGACCTTATCTAGCTTGGAAAGCTGCCATGGAAATATTATCCCAAATGAGGGGCTGTGAAAGGAAAACCTGGGAACAGAGTCTCTGAGATTCACGGACAGATCTTCACACTCCTGAAACGAATCTAACAACCGGATTGTTTCCTGCAAAAGCCCCCTCCCCTTTCGCTCCTCTTTTATGTCCTCTGGGAGGGGCCATTCACTGTCCACCTGTGGCTTTGCTCCCAAGTCGACCCGGATTTCCAAGCTGTTGTTTTC